CAGACGGACTGTACGCCAGTGAACGGTGGTCCAAGTGAATCAGTGATTTGATAATGCCTGATACGGTAAGCAGATTACGTTCCAGATGATTAATAACGGATAAGCCGTGTTCATGACTGATGGTCAACACAGATCCGATAATAGTTCACGTAACGCAACCTATCCGGCTCTAGGTAATGGTGTTGACACCGAACGAACAGCTAATGGCCAAATTGAGCTTTTAAGATCCTTTCTAATGCACATGGAAATATGAAATATTGGAACGGTTATAAACTGGACGATGTATGGTCGCCTGCATTAAATATTCTGACTCAAGTCAAGCCCTACATTCGAAGTTAAATGAGACAGGGCATCCTATGAGACACGTATAAATCCATTTTCGGGATCTTCTAGTCTCATTTACATTATTCGTTTCGCCAACTTTGCTGTCAGGAAGAAGATGGACGTATGAAACAATCAGTGTCGTCTGCTATTCCACTGAATGGCGAGAAGGCGTACAGTTTGAACTACTGTTATATTCCGCATTGTTCATATCTTAGATATACAATAAGAGCAAATTTAGTGATGTTAATTTCATTTCCAGAAATCAATCACCCGCTGTCGTTCACATATTGCGCTTACCTGGCTCTGAAGGGTAGACGGTATGATAAGAAGACTTTCCGTACATTTATTGACGACGGTCATGGACGGAGATTTGCAGTCCTACCGTTCGAGCATCGCTGACCAAATCACACCAGGAATTTGACACATTTAAATACCATTGACGCAGCTATGATTGCAAAAATGATGAGAAGTGGATTCGGACTGTCCACTGCGCCCTCTTGCTTCGCGTCATACAGAGAATATCGGTTTACCTTGGATTAGCTGTACATGTCACAAATTCCATGACGTAGTCCAATTGGTTCGCGATTCCAAAATTCTGTCATTCTGAACTGTTGTTAGTGTATTCTGCATAAGTGCTACTGTATTACTAAAGATCTGTCACACACAGTGAGCTGGCTGTCTAACCAGGCAATAGTGATTCATTTTGAGAGGTCATCGTATGTTTTTCAAGAAAGGTAAAAGTTACCGATGTGTGCATTAATTAGGCATTCTTAAGAAGAACTAGGGGGTAAATCTGTATTCATTTCTTAAGGATCCATGCTACATAATAAATGTCCATCATCGCTAGTAGGCTTTGCACTAGGAGCTGCAGGGCTAAAATTTACGATTTCGGCAGAATGGCATATTGATTAGTATGATTTTCGGCTCTCGCCACTGCATTCGCGAAGAAGGTGCTCCTAAGCAATTACACGTTTGCTTGAATGGTGCCTTTCTGATTTCAGTATTAGCTCCAGAGACGAATTTCGAAGACTGGATTTTTCCAGAAAAATCTCAAAAACAACCAAGCTTTTTCCTGTGATCAGAGAGTAGTATTCAATACATATTCAATACACATAATGTTAACAGATTTATAGACTTACCGTACCTTTACTTTTCTGCTAAATGACTAAAGAATTTTTCAAGCAGGCGTCTTCGCCACAGAATTGGAGCACATAGTTTCTTGATATAAAACCATGTTGGGAAAAACAACTTCTCTGAACATACACTGCCCTAACGCGGTTTGACAACGGCATTGTTCTTCACTCACAATAAGCTATTCGTAGATATACAGTATTATCACGCAATTGCTGCAGCTGACCACTATCCGGTTATACTAATTCAAAATGGCAACCGCAGGACCAAACGGGTACGTCACGACGCAATAGACTGGTTTAAAATTGTAATAATGCTCCACAATCAATTTTTGCCTTTAATTACCGTTCTGAATTATTTGCATAAGAAATTCATAACATTTTCGATAACCAGTCGAGAGACACATAGCAAGAAGTGCTATTGTGGTAAGGGCATATCAGAATCTGCAAGGCTTAAAAGGCCGTTTTGTTTGGTGCTTGCCCCTTGCACTCGCAATTCGTCTTCATCAACTTAATTATTTGTAAGATCACGATATGGAGTAGCCCGTTTACCCATATGGATCTCCGCTAGATTCTTCTTGTAGATATAGTGAGGTGTAGAGGTTGTCTCTGCATAACTATGCTTAGTAGTTCCTCCTGCTCCATCTACTTTCAGCTCAGTGAGTATCTCTTCATAAGTAAATTGCTTACCTCCGCCTTGATAATGCAGGAGCGTTTAACAGTGTATAGGTAGGAATCTCAAGGGCCCAGTATCAGAACCATGTCTAGAATAATAGCTGGAACTGTTTCTCTAATCGTTCTAGAAGAAACGCTGTTGTTGCTTCTTTTCAAATGTTATTGCGTGTTTATGGTTTAAATTTCCCGAAAATTTAATTTAGCATGTCAATGTTATTCGCAGCAGCATTAGACACTGTGGCTTCCCCATGCAGCCATCAGAACAGACTTCATTATGATCGAGAGAACCTCTTAACCATTATTCATATGCCATCATATTAAATGATATTTTGTATAACTAAGCCGAAGAAGTTACTAAAAACATAACAATTTTTATGCTACTGTATTAAAAATGATGTCTTCATAAACAGAATTAGATTTCAGCAGTTACTTTGGTCTTTTTTCAAGACAGTTGCTGCTGCTTACTACATTCAGTGCTGAAGAACACTTAATTGAGGGTGTTGGCACAGTAGCTCAGATGTCGGCTGTAAAGTCCAGAGGTACCGAGGCCGAGTCCGCTCAACCGTTGTCTTAACCGCGAATTCCCTTGAGCAAGGAAGTAACGCTACGTTGCTTCAGTGTAATCAACCGAGAAGCAGGTAGTAAGTCGGCATCGAATAAGTGGGCATCGTGATATTCTGGTCTGGTCATGTCAGAGTGGACGGGCTGTAGAGCGCCCTTCTAGCGATGCTTTACCTT